CTCAAAAAATTATTAAGCCAGTATAATTTAACTTTTAATTAGAATTATAAATCTGGTTATGCTTTATTTAATGAGCCGATAAAAATTTTTTAGTCAAAAAGTAGATCTCTTGAACAGCGCCCATATATCCATCGGTCCCATCCGGTCAGTCCTCTATTTTTTACGAAAGCAGTTTATCATTTTTAACTATCATTATAAAATTTATGCAGTTTATCATTTTTAACTATCATTATAAAATTTATGCAATAATGGTTTTTAACTATTTAAAAGTTTAGTTTATTATTAACCGGTCTGAACTGATTAAAAGACTGAAAACCGAAGGACCTTTAATCGGTTAAAAAGTTCTTATTTGATCTTCTCAGGACTGATCCAAAGGTTCAGGTTTCAAATTAAATTAGTGACGTATCATCACATGATCCAATATTTATTTTTATTTGGATAATAAAATAATATATACATCAAAAAAAGATGGTTATTTTATCTCCGGATAACTCTTTTTTCATTTTCTAGTTTAAACCAAAAATAGGACTTTTCAAACTCCCACTTATGTTCAAAAATAAATTAACTCTGAAACCCCCAATAAATAAAAAAAAAAAACACACAACAATCAAGTATCTTTAGAATTTCTTCTTTTTTAATAATTTGTAATATGAAATTTTACTTTTTTAGTTTGCGAATTCATTGAGAAATGTTAAATTATACATTAATCAAAAAAATTTTGAGAAATTCGTGAATTTGGAAAATATCTGCATCATAATATAAATAACAAAATAATTGTTTGTAAATTTTTCACATTCGTAAAAAAACATGATTTCAAACCTAGAAATAGCTTTTCAAAATTTTATATGAATTTTTATGATTACAATATTAACACAGATCCTAATATATAAGGTACAGTAATATTGTATATGGAATGAACCATTTAATGCTGAAAAAACTCGTGATTATTTCTATTGTTCAATTTATAAGAGACCATTCGTTATTTCAGAACGATATAGATTAAGCCATTCATTTTACGTATTAGTGAGTTTCAATATTGACTTGTTTCGAAAATAAGTAAGAGTTCAAAATATTTTGAAATTCTGAAAGTAGAAAATCAAATAGGTGCAAGGTTAAAAGATCGCTCAATTTGATAAATACGTTATTTATTTTATCAGATGCCGAATCATTAATTTTAAATACCACTGTAATAGTTTTTTTTAAAAAAGCCTCAATTTGTATTTTAGCAATTGATTTAGGTAACACCTATTTCCGTAATTTATCATAACAATGTTCGTCATGTAAGTTATATACAGATTTTCCCCAGTATTGCCATAAAAATTTTGCAGACACGTGAGAATCAAAAAGGTCTTTAAAGTTCGTTTAGGTTAGGGTTAGGGTTAGGGTTCGGGTTAGGGTGAGTGAGAGTTATAGGTAAAATTGCTCAAGGAAAACTTTTTGTTAAAGCACTAAAGGTGGTTTCTTATTCTACTTTTTGAGAAACAAGTGATTTTTGACAAAGCGAACGTCTGTTTTGAATTTTCCTAATCGTGTAACGTTACGCCTTATCTTGAATTCTGATTTGCTGGCTCCACAAAAAATCACGTGTCTGCAAAATTTTTATGGCGATACTGTGGTAGTTTATATACAGCTAAAAGTCATGTAAAAACATGGTAGAAATTGTAAATTTCCATGGTGAAATAGGCGCTCACGAGTTAGTCGGTAAATTCATACCGATTCCAAAACAACATATGTTATCATTGATTCATAAATGGGAAATAGACTAGAAAACCATCGTTCGGCACTTTCTAATCAATTTGAGATTTTTTTATCTCTAATTAAGGTTTTGGTCTTATTTATACGTTGAGCAAATTTTATCTGACAAAAATATTTGACTTTATAAAATTTAATTTCTCAAATTATTTTTCGGATAGCCGCAAATTTTGGATATCCGATTGCAAATTATCCGGATAAATCCGTTGAATTAATCAAAAATATAGTCGATTCTAGATATAGTGGATTTTTTATAATAAGCAATATAAATAGAAAATTTTTGCCAAACTGAACAATTTTTACTATAAGAATTATCATAAAAAAAACTAGCCGCAATCAGTATATATGTATTTTATTAATATTATCAATGCATATACGATTATGAATATGGTATGTAAAAAAACTTTTGCGCTCAAGGTAAAGTTACGTATAAAAATATGTCATTTATTCGGGATCCCATCAATTCACCGACAATCACTTCATAGACACCACATTTCACTGACAATTACTTACCAACAAGTTCATTTCACCGACAGTTTATTTCATCGAAGCTCATTTTACAGACAAAGTAATTCTGGTCAGTATCATTAGAGTTAGGTTAGAGCTAGAGTTAAAGTTAGTGTAATTTATAAAAAAAACTTGTCGGTGAAATGAGCTTCGGTGAAATAGACTGTCGGTATAACTTGTCGATGAATAATTATCTGTGTCTATGAAGTGATTGTCGGTGAAACAATACGGACCCCATTTATTCATGCCAAAATATTATGCATCATCATTTTTAATTGAAGTATCAGATAGTTAAGTTATATGTTAGGCTGTTTGAAATTAAAATTTCGTTTAACGTTCTCCCCCCCCACCTCAAAGATCCCCCCTAAAATTAAACAGGCCAATCAGAACGTTCATTACGCCTTGAAATTCTAATAAGTCACGTGCTTACAAACCAACCAATAATAATGTGATTATTTTTGCGATATAACATAATGTTTGTTTAAATTGATATCCCTCCCCCACTCGCTTAAGCTTCAAAAAGGAACGTTAAACGAAATTACAATTTCAAACAGCCTAATATTAATAATAAACAATCTATATTATATACTATACAAATATATAATATAATATATATAGTATATTTAAACAATTACAAAATTAAAGAAAATGATTAAAAACCTTATTTTGCGTATTTGGCGTGGGATATTGTTATAAGTAATTCCGTGAGAAAATAAAAAATAATTTTAATAAATTTTACACTTAAAAGACTTAGTTTTTTTTTAAATACCAAGTTTCCATAAAAAAAATACAATTTTAGAAATTTAAAATTAAAACTCTTGAAAATCCGGATTTTTTAATTAAAATGTCAAAGAAATATTTAAGGTATGTTGGCGATAGTCATAGCAATGCAATTGGCACTATCTAAACGATCTTCGAGTGCAAGTTATATATATATATCGATATAGTCGCGTCCAAGATTACAAGGATCTTATGTGTAAAATTGATCCCACTTAGAGGGAGTTGACTTTACACACATTCATATGTATCTATATACATATTCTGTATATAATTCAAGAAAAAAAAAAAAAATCTTATGAATCAAAAATTTTTTCTCCTTTATTTCAAATAAGAAGTATTTATCTTTATCCTTAAGCTTTGATAATCTTGTTTATAATTTCTGAAACAAGAACATATATAAGGAACATTTTTATAACCACAAGCTCGGTATAACCGGAATATAAGTAAAGTTCGTTAAAGATTTCAGTTATAAAAAAAAAATAAGAGTATAAATAGTCGAATGAGGTCCGAACCACTTTTTTGTTTATTATTGTTTATTAAAAGTACACGTACACATACATATTCTTTTTTTCCTATTTTTTTTTTTTCTTTTTTTTTACAGTTAACCCCGACGCAAAAAAAAAAAAAAACATAGACGAAAAAATAAATCCTTGTTATTATTGTTATATCCGTAAACATTAATGTGGGAGGAACAAATAAAAAAAAAAAAAAAAAAACAGAAGGTTCCTTTTTTTTGAATATAAAAAAGTCTATTATTTTCTGGTTAGCATATTGTTGTGATAGATAACTTTTGTGATTTTTTGTATATTTTTGTTGTATGTTTGGAATTTATATCGAGTAAATAAAACGTTATCAAGGGAAAAAAAAAGATACGCAAAAATCAATAACAAGTTATTGAATTTTTTCTATGCCATGCTCCTTGTGAAAAATCGAGTAAGACTGCTCTAAGTAACGATATTGTTCGAGAAAGAAAAAAAAAATTTTTTTTGGTATATCTATATAAAGAAAAAATTGAAATAATAAAAACAAAAGGGAAAGATTACTTATGAATTTAAAAAATGAAAAGGGAATTTATAAGTTATATATAATACGTATATATATATTATGTTGCATAGAGTTTTTTTGCATGGAAGGAAAATTTGCCTTCCCTTTCATATTTCCATAATTTTTTTTTATTTTTATTTTTTAATTAATAAAGGGGATAATGGTGGTCGTGGGGGTAAGAGATCATATTATTGTCATTATGTGTTTTCAGTAGATTATTAAAAACAGGTGACGACGACGTACTTTCTGGAGTCGTCACGCAAGATTCAGGGCTTGTCAATGCATCCGTCGGCGAAGGAGATAATATCGGGCTGTGACTCATTATTGAGGGGATACCCGATAATTGCCTCCGAGGTGCCTGTGGAGGTATATGATTCAAAGGAATATTGGGTGTTGGACGCATTACGGTTTGAGCGGGAGTGGACGGTGTTGTATTTGGCGGGGTTAATATTACTAGACCGTCATCGTTATCATCATCGGTTGAAGAATTATTCGCAGTTTTAGCCATCATGGCATCTTTCTCCAACTTTGCTTGTTTATTTTTAATTTGAACCCAGCGAGTTCTACATTGACGCTAAACATTGATAATGATAATGATAAAGGATAATGATAAAGGATAATTATAAAGGATAATGATAAATGGATAATGATAAAGGATAATGATAAATGGATAATGATAAAGGATAATGATAAAGGATAATGATAAAGGATAATGATAAAGGATAATGATAAAGGACAATGATTTAAAAAAACATGTAAATAATAATATATAATATAATAATAATCATAATGTTTTAATAATATGGTTTATTTACCTGAGTCCTTCCTTCAATTAGCTCAGCAATTCGAATCCAACATCTTCCATAACGGCGTACACCTTCTTTTAAGATTTCATCTTCATCGGGCGACCATTTACCTTTTCTAACACTTGGATCGAGTGCTTCTGACCAACGTGCTTGACATTGGATACCTGTTCGATGAGGAATCCTAGAAGCGATTTTATTCCAAGGAATTGGTTGTGGATGCCCATCTGAATCAATAAGATCTACAAATTCGCTAACAGCATCCTTTAATGCAGCATCTTCCTCCGGAGTCCAGCGGCCTTTATGAATGGTGGGATTTAAGGCACCTAACCATCTAGTAGAACACTGCATTGGCGTCCGATTTGGGACGTGTGCTGCGATGAGAGACCATTTATGCGGACCATAGATACTTATAGCAGCGCGTAATAATTCATCTTCTTCTTCAGTCCATTTAGTATATACAGGAGGTTTTTGTGGACTAGAAGGTATTCGTCCGGGATGCGATAAATGGGTACGTTGGTGATAATCACTTTCGTATGGATCTGCAACATAATTCTGACGACGCTGCTGCTATTTTTATTATTAAGAATTGTAAATAAAGGAGTCTTTTTTTTTTAAAAAAAAAATAAAAACTAGTGAAATTATGATCATACTTGATTAAAGCTGTAATTAAAATTTTGTGCAGGATCAAAAGAGATTAAGGAACCATATGATGGAGTAGGCAGAGACTCCATTGATACTATATTTTGAGGTGTCGGATAAGGGCTTTCCAAAACAGAATTATACATGTTTGAAAGTATATTTTGTTGATATATTTCATTATTCGTATGCTAAAAAATAATAAAAATAAAAAAAGTCAAAATTGATTCGTGTTATAAAAATTATCGTACACCCACCCTATGGAAATTATAAGATCATATTACCTGCCAATCATTATTGTTATCATGTGTCACATGTTGTCCATGTGATTCTTCTTTTGTTTCTGAATGATATAACTGATGATTTTGCGAAAATATAGATTAGAGAAAGAAAAAAAAAAACCAGGAATAAATAGGTTAAAAGATAAAATCATACCATGTTATTATTATTTTGTCCAAATTCAGATGGCTAAATGAGTGAAAAAATAGCGACCAAATAAGTAAATAAGCAAATAAATAAATAAATAAATAAATAATTCAAATTCATTATTATCTATTTTCAAAATTGTTTGGGTCAAAACCCGTGCATACATGTCACCGGTAGCAAAGAATTTAAATATATTAGTTTATAATTAAGAATTTTTGCTACTGATTACAAGTATGCACGATTTTTTTGGCTCAACCATTTTTAAAATAAACTAAATTGAAAGTGACAAGACATACCTGACTATATAATGATTGATTATTATTTTGTTGTATAATTTGATCTCGAGAATAGATCTATTAAAGGTTGAACGAAAATATAAATGACGTAATAAGGGATGTGATATAGGAGATTATAGAAGATTGAAAATAGGGGGTGGGATAAAAAAGCGCCAAAGTCATAAGTTAGTAACAATGGAGAGTAATTTCAATGAGATAATGAAAGAATTTTAATATGAAATAAGACATTACCTCTAATGGGTTTACAGTATTATCACCAAAGTAGCACGGAATTTGGATCATAATCGGACTTTCACTCTGGGGAAGATGATGGTTGTGGTTCCCGATATTAACATTGTGTTGAATATTATTTTTTGAATCCGTTTCCCGGATATTATTGATGTTATTTGAATTATTATATTCTTCATTTGTTGAAAACATATTGTTGATATCAAATTGCGTCAACGTATATGGCAAAGAATTTGACGTCAAAAGAACTACAGGATTGTTTAGAGAAATTTGACGCACTATTGTGAAAGATATTGAGAAAGATATTGGGAAAGATATTGTGAAGATATTGGGAAAGAAAATATATTGTGAAATATATTATGAAAAGAAGATTAGTTAATTACGAGCAATTGTTGAAAAAAGGAAACAATCAAGTAAAATTAGAAATCAACAATGAAAAAATGGTATGGAATCGAAAGATAGAATTTACACCCAAAAAGAATAGTAATGAATATGGGGGTAATAAATGACTCAGATAGTGGAACAAAAAAGAGAATGGTAACGCGCAAAAAGAGAAAAGGTTCACAATAGTAATGACATTTACCTTGGTTGTTTGCCAGAAATTGAAATTTTTGAAATGAAGAAGACATGATGGGCCAAAAAAGAATGGTAATTTATATATATCGGAAAGAATTGGTAATTGATAGGGGTATGATAATATGTACAAAATATGTACAAAAAAAAATTTTTTTTTTTTTTTTTATTACAAAGGAATGCAATAAACGCACGATGATGAAAATTGATCACGACTAAATTCACAGTAATTATGAAAATCAAACAATACGAAGGGGGATTTGATTTGAGGGGTTTAAGGACAATGTAGCGAGTTATCGATGATAAAAAAAATATTCGTGACAAAATTCGTTTGGTTTTGATTGATCAGAGCCAACAACCTGATTCCACCGACAGTATTATTCCTGTTATCCTGCCGGTTGCTTTTAATAGATTACAAAGAAAATAAAAGGTAACGATAATATATAAATTCCCTGAATAACGAAAAGAAGAAACTGTACTTTCGTAATTCAATAGAAATTTTGTTTTTCGGATAATATGTGTAAAGACGTGAATGGAAATAGGTTGAAGACATTAAAACCAATTCGCATCCTCAAACATGAGGAAAAGAGGTGAGAGAAGAAAAAGTAGATGAAATATATGAGATATATATATTTGAAAGAAAGATCTTTTTTTTTTTTTTTATTTATTATTTTTTTTTTTTTGTGTAGAAATACAGTATATAGTTAATTATATATTTATATATAATTCTTTTTTGATACACACAGGACTGGCATTGCATAGTAGTGACCGGACTCACATGCATAAAATAAATGAACATATAAAATAAATAAGTAAATAATAAAATTAGAATGATAAATATAAGAAAAACGAATGGAAAAAAAAGGGACAGCGGTTAAAAAACTTTCCAGGTTACTTGTTACTTGTTACTTGGTTACTTTAAAAGCTATCTTCGGTTAATATTAATTGGGGCTAGTATAAACTAAAACTTAAAAAGAAGCTAGAATAATCAACCTTTCATATAAAATTAAATCAATTTTATCTGTGCTTTGGTGGCCACGTACATATGACATCATTTAACAGCTTATCCAGGTATTCGCGCACAAACCTTTGGCATTGTGTCTTTTGGACATCGAATAAATGATTATTTAATAATTACAGAAGATTTTTTGTACGATTTTCCTAGTACATTAGAGACGATCTTTAATATGTCAATGAGTATATAAATATAAATATATAATACCAGTTTATATTATTAAATATATATAATATATAATATATATACATATACATATATATATATATAAATTAAAATAAAATATATGTGTATATTTATAAATTAAATGTATAAATTAAATTAATTATGAATTAAAAATTATAAATTAAACCAATATACTAAAATATACTATAAATTTGGATTGAATTAAAATTAAATAATGTTTAACAGATTTTGACATTCAAATGTAGCGGTTCACATGCGTACGCTAGAAGAGAAATCTTGATCCTCATGACGCGCGTACAGCAAACAGGTAACCTCACAAGAACCTAACTGATACAAACCTCGATATACAGTACTAAAAAGATAAATCAATCTCCTTATTAGATTCTTTTTCTCAATCCCCTTAATTCTCTTAATCACACATATCAACCACGTCCAAAATCTCTAAATTTACTAACAATCTGAACAATCCGTTTATCAAACACAAATCAACTGAAACGATTATTGTTATTATATCAACCCAGAATAACCTATGGCTATCAAGATTTGTACTATTCTCTTTTCATCTACACCCCACACTCCTTGTCCATATTTTCCTTACATTTTTTCCTTTTTTAATTGATTAAATTAATTTTTTTATCTCAAAAAAAAAAAAAAAAAAAAAGAAAAGAAAAGAAAAAAAAAAAAATTTTTTTAACATCCTTTTTTAACATCCTTTTTCTTGACCGGAAATTTTTTTTTCACAGATTAATCTTTATTGTAAGGTATGATATTGATCGTAAGGAGACAAGATGCTTCCGTAAGGGTTAATAAGTGGAAAAAAAATAATAATAAAATTCCTTTCACAGGTCAATCGTTCACTTGATGATTCCTCGTGACGGAAAAACCCCCCACACATATTTTAATCTTTGATTCCGCCCAAGTGTTGGGTCGTGATGCATATCGTTGATACACAACGCCCGTTTATTTATTAACCAACAGAATGTTGTTACGGCGCATGCACTTGGTAAAATATGGCAATTGGTTCGTGATAAGATGACGATAGCTTGATGTTTTTCTGTTTAAATTTATTAAATTTTAAAATATTCTTGTGAACATTTTGGTTATTCGAATTTTTGAATATTCTAAATGAATTCTTTGTCAAAATAAATAAATAAATAAATAAATAATAAATAATAACGAAAAAAAAATTTTTTTTCGATTGCTTTGTTGTATTCATATACAAATTCCTGGTCATTGTTTCTATGCGTCCAAAAAGAATCCGATTCGTAATAGGAAAAAACCTGAAAAAACCTGAAAAGGGGTGCATGAAAAATACTTATTACTAATTGTCGATTATAGGTCCTCTGTCAAAAATCCCACGCCTTCTCTTAAAACTTTTTATTTATACATTTATAATGTCCTCAATTTGTTTGTTTACCACTGGATCGGTTACCCTGCTCAAGATGCTTTGTAATCTGTCCTTACCAAAAAAAAAAAAAAAAAAAAATGCAGTGAAACACGTTCCGATTATTCCAACTAAAACGAATACATATAAAAAGTACTGTTCCCGTTTAGTTATTATTAACGTTATTCATAATCCTTTTTATCACAATAAATTCGGTCTACTCTTTATAATAATAATAATAATAATCCTATGTGATCCAATATCAGGTATCATCAGTATGATCACGATGATTAAATTTGATAGTTTCGTATAATTGTCATTTCTTATATTTGGTATTATGTGTTATGCTATATTTGTTACGTAATCTTAAAATTTATTCGTTCGTTGTTCATATGAATGAAAATATTCTGTATGCGTCTGCGTCTGTAGGTAAGAATACAATGGTTTTTAAATGTTCGAAAAAAAGTCTTTAAGACCTTGCTCACATGCTTCTAATATGGTTAAATCACTTTTGTTAAAGTTTGTTCCATTTGGTACAATGGTTCACATAACCGCAATGATTTCTTGTAATCATCAAAATACATGAATCTAATCTATTCATCATTAATAAATAATAATTTTTATTTATTCCTTCTGCACTTTGCGTACTTTGCGTGTAAGATGATGAATACACAAGATGATCATGATTAAAAAAAAAAAAATTGCTTCTAACTCTTATAATATTACTATACGTGACGTAATATCCAATTTTTTAGTAAATATATAATTTTTTTGATTTTTTTTGTCTAAATTCTGGAATTAGAAAAAATCATTAATTTATCAAGAAAAATCTTTTTTATACTAAATTATTCTACACTTTTCTACATTTTTCTAATGTAATCTATAGTAATCTATTGCCTGCGGTTTATTGTATAATGTTCAAACCGATTAAGTTTTCATGGCTTTGACCTTGGCGTTTAACTAATATGATTTCAATAGTGGTTTTGTACTATAATATATATATAGTTTGCGTCATACAAGATTCTTTAATTACTTTAGCCATGATAAAAAATACTCAGATCCTTATGATTAGTGTTTATATAAGTTACTTTTTGTTATAATGAAGTGATTCGGTCTGTGTAATTTTCTTCTTCATTATATCATTACTGTATCGAGAATTTACTAGTAAATTCGCTATATCGAAAGTTTACTAGTTAATTCTCAATGTCAAGTGTCAAGAGAGTTTTTATATAAATCTTTCTTCACCATAACGAGGATGATTTGCATTAGAGTTAGATGTTAACAAAATATATACCAATAATTCTCTTTCTTTCTTATAGTGAAGAACTGTTTATATAAACCCTCTCGATATAGTGAATTTACTAATAAATTCTTGATATGGTAAAGTGGTTCTCACAACCCGATCTCTTCACTATAACAGTGACTTGTAAAATTGCTCGAGAGAATGATCTTTTCAAAACGAACTCGTGTTTTTCCTGATCGTGTTACGTTACACTAAATCTGATTCATTGGCTCAATAATTCTGAAATTTGATAAATCTGATTGGCCAGTTTGATAAGACAGACCAATCAGCCCTTTGTTGAGCGAAGTTCATTGAGGGGGTGTTTGAGAACGCTTTTAATTTATCATCGATCATTACATGGTCCGATCATTTTTCTCAATGCCGAAGGTATTTAATTACTTTTATTACAGTAAAGAAATTAGGTTTGTTAACAAAAAAAAAAAAAAGTTTTAATTTTTACTATCATACTACATATGGAATTTTATGTACAAATTAATCTCGTCATTTTAAAGCAATCAGGCTGTAAGATATTCTTAAATATATCGAAAGTTTATTAATAAATTTACTATTTGTAAAGTTTTATCACTTTCGTTATACTGTACTGTAGTAAACTCTTATTACAAGTCACCTTTATTATACTAAAGTAATAAGTGATTTCTTACTACAAATCACTTTTGTTATTTACTTTATTATAGTAAACATCCTATTATAGCAAAGAATAGTTTATAAAAATCTTTTTACTGTAATATAGT